TTTTTTATGTTTTTTATGTTTTTTAAAGAAATATATGTGTCTTCTGCTCAACAAGGCTGCATTTATTTGATCAAAAATACAGCAAAAGCAGTCATATTGTGAAATGTTATTACAAATTAAAATAGCTGTTTACTAATTGAATATAAAAAGAAACAATTTATTATTCTCAATGTTGAAATATCTGATACACTTCCATTCAAATTAGATAAGATTAAAAAAGAAAAGAAATGAATACTTCTATTCAACAAGGATGCATTAAATTTATCAAAAGTGACAGTAAAGACATTTATAATGTTACACAAGATTTCTATTTCAAATAAATGCTGCTCTTTTGAACTTTCTCTTCATCAAAGAATCCTGAATAAATAAAGTGTGTCACGGTTTCCTCAGAAACATGAAGCAGCACAACTGTTTTCATCACTGATGATCATCAGAACAAACTACAATGGTGTAAACAAGTAAAGGCAACGAATAATTGAAAATGTACTATAAACTGAAATATAAAATAAATAAAAACTACAAATTTAAAATAAATAAAAACCATGTTTATATTTTTTTGGGAAAATAACGATGTGATGCGAGGGGAATTGCTATAGTGTTGTGAGTGGTTTAACCTCAGATCTCTAGACATGACTTTGAGTCTCTCCTTCAGTTTATGTCTGTGATTTATTTTGTCTGATGGAACCCTGTCTCTGTCGGTCTGTCAGCTGTATGTGTTATGAAGTGACAGTAAACAGTATAGTGTGTGAGTGTCCCATCTCGTGGTTAATGATTTGTTCTCGGCGGGCGAGTGTGAGAACAGTCTCAGTCTCACTTTGCTTAAACACAGAGATTCACACAAAAGGTGCCGTCTTGAAGCCGGAAGCCAATTAAAATCAAAGGCAGTGGCACGCGCTGGATCTGTGTGTATCAGGACTTGTACTGTGGAGAACAGGTTTTGACGACCGGGTTTTTAACTGGTTTAGACCCAGCGTCTGACTTATTTCCACTTATTATTCCGTGTTATAATATAATTATTTCTGATATCTGAGCTTGGCATATCACATGCTCTAAAATGTTCCAGTAAAGCCACATGTAGATATTTTTGGTTGTTTTATTAATGTAATTACTTTTTTTATTTTTTTATGCGTTTTTTATTTTTTTGGATATCTGTTACCACTGTTAGCTTACCAGATTTAATTTTTAATTTTAATTTATTTTATTTTGTTTGTATTTTTTTTTTCTGGAATGCTATTATCTAACATGGAATTAGCCAAGCATTACAAGTCCAGTGTCAGAAGTCTTGACCTGATTGACTAACAAATAAAGTCAAGCAATTAAATCATAATAATGGCAATCTATTTAACTCGTATTTAATTCACTGCAGTTATTTAATGTTTTAAAGTCATTTTTACTTTTTTAATGTGTGTGTGTATTTTTAATTGCTTTATTTTTAATTTTATTGATTTTTTTAAACAATGTCACATACAGAAGTGTAAGATTTAATTATAATTAAAGAGGCTCAAAAATCCTTCATAATTAAAATATCGTTACTAAAATAATTAATTACTAAATGTTTACCTTTTACTGTTTTTTTAACTTGTAACTCACAATTTTCCCCCTTGGCAAACAATATAGCTCCTTAAAATTAAAAATATATACCATAAAATTATAAAAATATAATTCCTTACAATTGTGACTCCAAAGAAGAAACATAAAACCTTTTAAAATCATTTAGAAAAATTTAAACCTTTTCAACAGCATGATGAGATGAGAATGAAGATCGAGCGAATAAATAATCACATTACATTTTCTCTACTTTTACACAAATTGTGGTATTTTCTATATTCATCAAGCTCAAAAATTAAATTCTCTTACCCAAGATATTATAAGGGAAAAATCTGCAACACATATTTAGATTTAAGAGAAATATATGTCAATATCAATAACAACAAAGCAATGTTTGGTCACAAAATATCCAGCTGTTACTGACAGATGGCTTTATTTTGGCTTATTGGTGGTTGTTTGATTTATTTGTCTAAAAAAATCTTGAATTAGAGAAATTAAATATTAATTGAAAAGATTATCATGAGTTACTACTTAGAAATAGAATACAGTAAAAATTCTGTGCATGCCTATTGGCGAGACCGATGGTGGTTCAGGTGATTTAAATTTATGGATTAGCATGCATTTCATGATGCAGAAGGTGTGATGTATGCAAAACAAGCATTTTAGATGGAAACCAAGAAGCATGTATCATATAAAATCAACTTTTCTTAGTAAACAATTGATTTGCATGTCATTTTGTGATTTACACAGATTCTAAATACTTATTCAAAAAGACTAATACATTTCCAACATCTGGCTGCTTTTCTTATCCAATCACAGATGCAAACATTGACATCATATGAGCATGAAGCAAACTTTTTCTTAAACTATCTTTCTATCAATTTTTATACCTATGACTCGCATAATGAGTTGTATTGCTCATACATATAACCCAATACTATCTTGCACAATTCTTGTCCACACACTCTTTGACAGGTTGCTTTCTCTTCCAGTCTATTCTGATTAATGTGGGTGAATTGTTAATACACAGATACACACACACTTTTATTTGGCAGTATATGGTGATTTCACTCACTTTCATTCAGTGTATATCAGACATGCCTGTGGCTGTGGGTCCATCAAATGCCCTGAGACTTTAAATCAAAATGTTGCTATCTGAGCCAGGAGACTCTCAGCTCTTCCGTCATGACAGCAAATCCACACAGAAATACTTCAGTGACCACAGAATCAAGGTTTTACGGTCCCCTAAGTTGAACCCATGGGCTCGAGCTGAACACAAGCTGAGCTTTAGTCCATCAGCCGGGACTAAACACTCTGATCTGGACAGATTTACAGCAGAGAAATGATCTTAGATCCTGTTACATGTGTTCTGCTGCTACTTCATCCAGAATTATCTGAAAAGACTTGAGGATGAATTCACTGAACTGTTGTACCACGCAGGATTTCCACACAAGAATATGCATCTCATTCCCTAATGATCTGCAATCCGGTTTTACCACATGCATCGCAATTAATTATTTCTCCTTCAGTTAAATTTAAATGAGTTTTTTTTTTATTATTGTGCCTTATTGTCATAAATAAATGCTGCTTGGCTGGTGCAAAAGTTATTTATAAATCAAATATTGAAAATCACAAATCAATCTATTTCTACTCTGTAAGCACATCAAAATAAACTAAATGAAAATGAGAAATGTTGCCTTATCAACTAGTTAAAATAAAATACTTTATTTTTATTTTATTATTTGTGTTGTCAATATATGGGTGTAAATAAATGCATTATTTTTATTATTATTATTATTATTTTAAGTTTTTTATGTTTTTTTGTTTTGTTTTTACTAGTATTTATTTATTTATTTGTGTGTGTGAGAGTGAGTGTGAGTGTGAGTGTGAGTGTGTGTGTGTGTGTGTGTGTATGTGTGTGTGTGTGCGTGTGTGTGTGTGATGGAAAATGAGAATTGTTTGTCCATATGACTTGTGCACTATATTCCAAATAATCTTCTTTGCTTTCATATCTCATTCACATGGTGCATCAAGATATGTCATGCCAGGTTTGATGTCAGCGATAACTAATGTAATTTTTTCATTTCTTTTCCTAAATTTCCTGTAACTGCTGTAAGTTGCAGCAGTGATTTCTCTCTTAGTTTTTGCTCAGGTCTGAGGTTAAAGAGCATGTCGTTTTTATTTTACTGATTGTCTCCTCTCTCATTTTGCAGCATTCAGTCGTGCACCGGTGCCCATGGCAGTTGTTCGGCGCGAGCTGTCCTGTGAAAGTTACCCGATCGAGCTGCGCTGTCCCGGGACGGACGTCATCATGATCGAGAGTGCAAATTACGGCCGAACAGATGACAAAATATGCGACGCCGACCCCGCTCAGATGGAGAACACACGCTGTTATTTACCTGATGCGTACAAGATCATGAGCCAGAGGTGAGACACGCAAACACAATGACACACAATGTTTAGTGCTTTTATGCTTACCTGTATTTATTTGATAAAAAATGCAGAAAAAACAACAATATTGTGAAAAGTTCTTACTGTCTAAAATATTGTTTTATTGTTTTTTTCTTTTAATGTGGTAGTGTATAGCCACAAAAATGTCAACATTGATAATAATCAGAAATGTTTCTTGAGCAGCAAATCAGCATATTAGAATGATTTCTGAAGATCATGTGACACTGAAGACTGGAGTAATGATGCTGAAAATACAGCTGCGCATCACAGGAATAAATGATATTTTACAATATATTCACATAGAAACAGCTATTTTAAATAGTAGTAATATTTCAAATGTTTTAACATTTTAATGGTATGTTTTATCAAATAAATGCAGACCCTGGTGATCTGGAGAGACTTAAAAAAATAATAAAAATCTTAATTATTTCAGACTTTTGACCGGTAGTGTATATGCAAAAAAAAAATAAAAAATCTGATGAGTTTTATACTGTGTAGAGTTTTGAAAGTGTAGGTTGTGTCTAATTTTAGAAGTGTGTTGTGTATGTTTACTCTGTTTTTGACTTAAGTTATAATTTTATTGGGACATTTTGCACAGTCAGTGCATGAAATCAAGCTTGCATAGCTGGAAGAGTAGAGTGAGTTTTTACTTCTGTAGAGTGTATCAAATATTTCGGGCATAGTGTGTGTGTGTGTGTGTGTGTGTGTGTGTGTGTGTGTGTGTGTTTGTGTGTGTGTGTGTGTGAAATAAGGCTTTCTGTTTTCTGTGTGCTACTTATTTAGCTTACACTTTCTTACCCAGCAACGTATCACAGTACAATTACGACAGGGAACATCCCCCCGGAGCAATCTGGGTTTAAGCACCCCACTCAAGAGCACAGTGATGTAGGTAATAAGATATAGGATACCTTAGCAATCCTTAGGTCCACGAATCAAGCCTTCAGGGGTTTGAACCAGCAACCTTCGGATTAGCTGCCGCTGCACCGCATGCTGTGTGTGTGATACACTGATGCAGATTTGGCTTATTAAAGCCTGCTGTGCTGCTTTCTCTTTTGGCTGCTGTTTTTCCAGCCCTCCCTATCATTTTCCTCAGCATTTCATGCAGCCTGACACTCATCACACCTTGGCGGAGTGGAAGCGTCAGACAGACCGGTATCAGAGTGTAGTGTGTCTGTTATTGTTCCTGTGTGTATTCTCCATTCTGTTGCTGAAATAAATTAAAGCAGCTGCTCAGCAACACAGCATGATAACGAATAGTAACCGTGTCCATCTAGTGCAGAACAATGACATTATTCTCTATAGCAAACCTCTAACTTCACGCACAAGTGTGGGGAATCTGAATAGAAAATATTTCAGTAGAGGGCTGGATAGAGTTAGAATGGATGTTGTACAGAGTTTGATAAGGGTGTCACAGCGTTTTATTAATGTTGTAGAGGTTCATTAGAGTTACAAAGTTTGGAGGGTGTCGTGTACATTTTAGTACAATGTTGTAGAGTTTCAGTAGAATGTGTAATTTGGAATTTTAATACAGTATGTTAGAGTTTCAGTAGGATGTGTCAAGCTGAGTTTAAGTAGTGTGTGTCACATATAATTTCAGTAGAATGTGTCACAGAGTTTCAGCATGTAGAGTTTCAGTAGAGGGTCACATAGAGTTTCAGTAGAATGTGTCATGTAGAGTTTTAGTATAATATGTCACATAGCGTTTTAGTAGAATATGTCACATAGATTTTCACTAGAATTTGTCATGTAGAGTTTCAGTAGAATGTCACATAGAGTTCAGTAGAATGTGTCACAGTTTCAATAGAGGGTCACAGAGAGTTTTAGTAGAATGTGTCACATAGAGTTTTAGTAGAATGTATCACATATTTTCAGTAGAATGTCACGTAGAGTTTCAGTAGAATATCTTATGTAGAGTTTCAGTAGAATGTGTCATAGTTCCAATAGAATGTCATGTCACATATAATTTCAGTAGAATGCGTCATGTAGAGTTTCAGTAGAATGTCACAGAGTTCAGAAGAATGTGTCTCAGAGTTCAGTAGAGGGTAACGTAGAGATTTAGTAGAATGTGTCACAGTGTTTTAGTAGAATATATCACAGATTTTCAGTAGAATGTGTCACATATAGTTTCAGTGGAATGTCACAGAGAGTTTCAGTAGAATGTGTCACAGAGAGTTTCAGTAGAATGTGTCACATAGAGTTTCAGTAGAACTTCACATAGAGTTTTAGTAGAATGTGACATGTCACAGAGTTTCAGTAGAACATGTCATGTAGAGTTTCAGTAGAACTTCACATAGAGTTTCAGTAGAATATGTCAGTTTCAGTAGAATGTGTCATGTCACATAGAGTTTCAGTAGAACATGTCATGTAGTTTCAGTAGAATATGTCATGTAGATTTTCAATAGAATGTGTCACGTAGAGTTTCAGTAGAACTTCACATAGAGTTTCAGTAGAATATGTCAGTTTCAGTATAATGTGTCATGTCACATAGAGTTTCAGTAGAACATGTCATGTAGTTTCAGTAGAATATGTCATGTAGATATTCAGTAGAATGTGTCATGTAGAGTTTCAGTAGAACTTCACATAGAGTTTCAGTAGAATATGCCAGTTTCAGTAGAATGTGTCATGTCACATAGAGTTTCAGTAGAACATGTCATGTAGTTTCAGTAGAATGTGTCATGTAGAGTTTCAATAGAATGTGTCACATAGGGTTCCAATAGAATGTGTTTTTTTAGAGTTTCAGGAGAATGTGTCATATTGAGTGTTGAGTTGTTGATGGGAATCCTGTAGCGTGAGCTGCTCTTCTGCGTCTCCAGCCTCATTAACATGTGCAGAGATGAGAGGAGGCAAAGCTCTCCTCCAGAGACGAAACAAACTCAAACGCTTCCATCCCACTTAGCCTTTAAGCCTATTAGACAGAAGACAAGAGGAAAATCCAAACAGAGAAAGAGAGATAGAGCACATATAAAATCTATCATACTTTCATTTCACATATGAGAATACCTTAAAAATGAAGAGTAATCATAAAATAAATATTGGTATATAAATAAATATTAGTATAAGGGTATTGCCATAACATAAATATATTTTATTGATTTATATCAATAGAAATATAATTCATATCAGTCTAGCAATCCAAAATTGTCACACAATATTTTTTTCCTACGTTTTCCACTATTGCTTTCACTATTCTAAATTTTGTCATGCAATATATTTTATTGTTTTCTATATTTTATGCTATTGCTTTTGCAGTTATAAATTTCATCATGTAATATTTCTAAATTTTGTCATGCAGTATATTTTAATGTTTAGCATGTTAATGCTAATTTTGTCATGTCGGAACTAAACTGAATTGAGTTGTTGGAAAATGCAGCAGCTGACGACGCGTGTTTCTCAGACCAGTCAGACTCACTCACATGTCTGGTATCCTCTAGTGCTGCTTTTGTGCTTTTGTCTCTCTGTTTGTCTGTTTATTGTCAAGTGCTTAAGATCAGATTTTACAGGGTTTATGTAACAAACCGCATTCTAAGGGCAGCGTTACTGTCCAATGGAATTTAAAAACTAGCAAATGAGTTTCTCTTCTGCCCACATCTGTGCCATATTATTTTCTCTTTGTCTGTGGTTGTGTGCTCTGCGACTGGCAGAGGTCCACGGGATCTGAACGCACATGGCTCTTGCTCGAGTAATCTGATATCTTAATTCGGAAGTGCTATTCTTCGTTGTGTGGAATTTTGCCCTTGTGGGAATAGATCTGCTTTTTCCGGGCCGTAAGCCACCTGTCTGCTCGCTTGTGCGGCTTCACACAGCTAATATCCAGAGGCAATAGGCATTTAAAAATGACATAAATAAAAAAGTTTTAGACTCTTTTTAAAATAAATAAACAAATACTTTTTAAATACAAATATTTATTTATTATTTATTACTGATCTGTGAGCACAGATGCAGTTTAAGAAGCTGAAATATTTCAGGCGCAGCTTCACATAAAACACAGTTTGCCAAGAAACTCTGACAGGCTGATAGATTTATACGCAGGTGTTTGAGATATCGATGAGTGATTCTTCACAGTTTTGATGTGTGTGTGTGTGTTGAATGCTGCAGTGAATTGCATCAGACGTGATTTAAGTTGCTGAGGGAGGAAATGTTTGCTATGAATATGATTTCACTTATGAAATGAAGGCCTTGTTGAACTGAAAGAAAACAGATTTCAGTCTAAGAATATTGGAAATCAAATATTAAAAGAAATGGTTCTGAAATTTTTGGTATGGTGTTGCTTAAAATCTCGAAACTGGTCAGTAGTTTCTGAACTGAAACTGGATAGCTGGTTTTGATCAGTCATTTTATTATAGT